ACACACACACACACACACACACACACACACACACACACATATTTTCTGTCTCTGTCTCTCTCTCTCTCAGTCTCTCTCTCTCCATTTATGCAAATTTTATCTAATTGAATAAAATGAAGGATCCATGGCAGGGCAGTTTGTGTTCTATTCTATTTAAATGACACCCTGTTCATCAGGTGTACTTAATGTAATGTACATCGATAGATAGGCAAGCTATGTTCCACTTCATTAGCAAAGCTTCGTCTCATGGATAGTCTAGGCTAGAGTAGAGTATATATACTTTCTTTAGTGGGCCTGTTTAGTATCACATCAACATGACATGATAATTGCGCGTAATGTTCTGCAGATGGCTGTCCGGGGCGGGTCTCGCACTCACAAAGAACAAGACAACCCTTCCCTTTGGACAAGGGAAAAAACCCAATCGCAGGCCCTATTGCAAGAAAAACAACTTGCTCCCTGTCCTGTGCCACCCCCCCCCCCCCCACCCTCTGGTACATAATAATAGGTACTCAACTTGAACTTGTTTTGTCTTTTTTGACATCAGATCTCTGTTTACATTGAATTTTTTAAAAAAATAGCCTAAAACTAAAACCAGTCTTTCATTCACACAAACACATACGCACGGTGTGATTTCGCACACACTCTATTCTTGTCTCCCTCAGAGCCCAGAAGCAATAATAATTGAACAAATTATGCATACAACAAAAGGAACATCTGCAGCATAACACTACAGGTTACTCGAAGGCAACAATTGTGTACTGAGCAGTCCCATGCCTCCTGGTTCTGTCTCCGTCCACTTCGGAGCAACTCATGTACAATGCACTCTTGTTTTCCCCCTTAGCCTGATCTAAATGCTTTAAAAAGATGTCAGCTGTTTTGTAAGCGCTTCAAGTGTAACACAAAGGACTTTCATCGGTTGAAACATTCACACCCACAAACGAGCGCATATGTGGGATGTGTGGTAAAATTACTACAGCTTGGAATAACGCGCAACGAGTGGAGTGATTGTAATCTCCTAGCAGCCTAGCAGCCCTCATAGCAATTCTCTTTGTTTACAATCCAACCGGAAATGACCTCAGACTCGGTTTATGTGAGGCAGGTGCAGGAACACAGCTGCTGCCCCGTAACCAGACAAAAGAACAGCGGTACTCCCCGTTTCATCTCCCCAGCCACACCAAGAGACGTGTGGCATAGCTATGCTTTGTATACTGAAGTTTAAAGGTTGGCTCGTGCTAGAGAAATTACTATAGTGTCGTCCGTTGTACGAGAATGGATCGGGATGTTGAACTGTAAGTTGAACGTGTTAATACATTTTTACAAGTTTGTTGATGGAGAACACTGCTACTTTTGACTTTACGTGTCTTGTGACTTGTGACTTGATCTTCTAGATTAGATCTCTAGATTTTATATAATAAGCAGACTAGCTCTAGATTCTACACTAGTACTAGATCTAGATTCTAGATTTGTCGATCTAGATCTTGATCTAGAAATCTAGGAGGTGTCCTCTAGTCTCTAGATCTATATAATAATCTAGTTCTAGCTTCAATCTAGCCTACCACTGTTCTTTACATGAGTCATGAAATGTCCCCATGAAATTAATCTTGTGACTAGAATTAAGTTGTGACGTAGGCTTAACTTTCAATGTCAATACGTTCATTGATGCGTAGATCTATTTTGTTTTGGCCGGCTCTATTTCTTCAAGCATTTGGGAAAATAAACTTGAACTCTATTTCTCCGAACGGTTTCCGTGCTCGAGATTTGATGATAATAATTGCGAATGGAGTGGCCCGTGCGTGTGTGTGTGTGTGTGGAGTGTGCATGTGTGTGTGTAATGTGTGAACGTGGCAGGGGTAGGGGGGCGTGGAGGGAATTTTTTTTTAAATGAGAAGGATATCAATATTAGTTTTTCGAAGTGGCTAGCCGTACTTAGATCTAGGTTTGGCCCTATCGACTCAAGCCTGTTAAGTACACAGGTCTCATTAGATCTAGATCTAGTAATTATTCAGGTTCAAATACATGCAAGTCAGTAAGGCACCTTTTTGTTTTGTCTGAAAGTACGGCTAGCCTCTTCCTTAGTTTTTCCTGGGTGACTAGATCTAAACTGCCAAGGTCGATCAGTCTTGTTGTCTCGCAGTACCTTTTGAAGATATTTTCAAATGATGTATTTTCCGGGAACTTGGAGCAGGCACAAGCCGGGAAGAGTACCCGTTTCTCGTGAGAAATGCCCTTCCTGTCACTTCCCGGGCACTAAACTACTGCCCGGTACCGAGAAGTGATACCGCTCGTTGGCTTTACATAATAACGAGTAATGAGAGTGAGAGGTGTCGACGGAAAGAGCGGCACATCCAGCGAGAAATGACACGCAGACAGTGTCACCCATCACTGTGCCGTCCTGTGTCTGAAACTGAAAGGGAGGGGAGAGGGTGGCGAGACGAGGTGAGTGGGGAGTTGATCAGGGCCTAGGCCTAGGTCTCCCAACTTTCCTTCACTGCCTGAGCCTGCGCAACAGGCCTAGCCTAGTTTAGGTCCCCGCCACATCCGGCCTTCTCACTGAGCGAGCTGCCCGTGAACTGTGCGAGAAGAGAATTATCGGCCACGGACGGCCTTCTCGCTGAGCGAGCTGCCTGTGAAGAGCGCGAGAAGAGAAATTGGTCGCGAGACGAGAAGCACTTCTCAGGACCTGGACCTGTCCTGGCAAGAAGTAGGTCAGCTTCTCGGTCTTCTCGCTGGGGAAGAAAAAAGCGCTTCCGGCCTGTCTCTTCGGGGAACATTGCCCCTATCACACCTGAAGTATCTGATTCAGACATTTAAAAATCTCTAGCTCTAGAAATTGAATTCGATGCAAAAAATGCTTCTTCCCGGTCCTCGCAGAGTGGCGGAATGAAAAATGACGCCTAAATCTCGCAAATAACCAAAAAATCTCAAGAACTGAAACTGTTCGGAGAGATAGAGTTCAAGTTTATTTTCCCGAACGTTCGGAGAAATAGTCACTTTGTTTTGTTTTTGATCTGTTTTTAGTGTAAAAAGTAATTTTAAAAGGACAACAAGAAGATACTTTGTACTTTTGTGTTCTAGATCTAGATTATCTAGATTTTAGTGTCTATATTTCTAGATCTACTTGTTCTTGATCTGATAGAATTCTGAAATTTAAAAAAAGATCTGGACCTAAAAGCTGTTGATTTAGAAAGATTGATTGTGGTCCTTGTAAGTGCCTTGTGGTACTATTTGACAAGTAGCAAGTTTCCTTTTTTTCCCTAGGCCCTGGGCCTAAACTATATTTTATTATGGACTAGACTCATATCATGTACATGATGAAATAGTCCAGTTAGCCAATAATTTGGTCGTTCTGTGTTTAATTCTAGGAATCAGGGATGTGGGCCTGTTGGAGGAGTTAGGCCTAGTTAATGTTTAGTGTTAGTCAAATTGTTATCTTGGTCATGTGTCTACATCATTAAAAGTTTGGAAGAGGCTAGCGGTACTTAATGACGGCTAGACGGCTGGGCTAGCCGTACTTAGATAAATATGATGGCTAGATGACAAACAGCAAAAATAGGCCTGCTGAATTGTAAATAAATTTATTTTAGTTTGCAATACCCCAAAGTATTTGTATTTTTGAGACGAAACCAAAAGGAGCCTTACTGACTCGTATGTATTTTAAATTGAATAATTAGGCCTACTAAAATTTAGATCTAATGAGACCGTTGTACTCAACAGGTTTTGATCAACAGGGCCAAACCTAGATCTAAGTACGGCTAGACTGGCAAGCTAGCCGTACTTAAGTATAGAGCTCTAGACAGCTAGGCTAGCTGTACTTTGCCATTTCGTAAAAGTTTTTTGAGAGTTGGGGGGGGGGGGGGGGGGGGGGGGGCCAATCTTGTTCATCATGTGCTCCAAATACTCCTATTCTGTCTACCTTACAAGGTCTATTCTATTCTAAATACTTTTGAGTCCAATTCTTAACTTTTAAAATTAATTGAGTACCGTATGTTGCCTGCCCATAATATAAAACCAGATTGATGAGATATGTCATATAGACCTAGATTAAGTATGTGTTTTAAAACTCAGCTTTGTATAGAAAATGAACATTTGCTGATACACAAACTTACAATAATTTATAATGGACACAGAATTATTGTTATAGTCCCTTTAGTCTTTTTGTCTTCTTTGCTGGTAGTCTCTCAGATCATGGTCAATTTTATTTGGAAGAGGTGAGCCGTACTTAATGACTGCTAGACAGATAGGCTAACCGTATTTAATAATGATGGCTAGACTGACAAAAAAGAAAAAAATACTGAATTGTAAAAAAAAAAATGAATCTGCAATGCCTAAAGTGTATTTCAGACGAAACCAAAAGGTGCCTTACTGACATGCATGCATTTTAAACCTGAATAGTTTCTAGTGAGACATGTATACTCAACAGATTTAGGCCAATAGGGCCTAACCTAATTACCGCTCGACTGGCAGACTGGCAGGCTAATTTTCAAATCTTCACAGAAGTAAAAGGTACTACTACAGTGAACTTCCGATAGCGAAGTCATCAGGCTTGACCTCCAGTTTTATGGAATTCAATAGTTTGGTATTTGTCCTTCCCTGACAATCGCTGACTTATTATCACTTCTAATAAAACAAAACATAAAAACTGGTTCTCTAATTACAGGTCTAAATTGTCCTAAATGTGCTCAAAACCTGTTTTTCGCGCGGCTAAACTGAAAACAGCTGTAAACTAAACTAAAATAAAACCCCTGATTTGTTTTTCTTCTATTTGAGTAAAGTCTCTGAACTGAAAACCCGGTTAATCCAAAGAAAATGTGGTGGTCCTGCACATTTCGGTTTTAGTGGACTCCAACATATGTTCAGGCAAGACAATTTCCAAACACCGATGTTCTACAAAGGGCAAATGGGGAGAGTCTGACTTGTTAGCCTGATTTTAAAATGTCGAAGGCAGTTTACTGTTTTGAGCTGTCCTCATGGAAGTGTAAAGTTGGTGAACCTAAAAAGCGCAACAAAAACACCCTGCAAATGTCTCTGAAGGACTTCAACATTGTTCCCTTGACTTGGGAGAGCCTAGCTCCTGACAGAACAATTTGGAGGGCAGCTAATCATATATGAACCTTCACGAATTATAAATGCTGAAACCAAGAGAGAAGCTCTCCCAAGCTGTGCACTTCCACAAGTGGAAATGAAGCTTTTAAATGCTCAAAATGTTGCAAACTCTTCTTTGCCAGAATTAGTTTCATCAGGCGTAGCAGAAGCCACTAGTCGTCTTAATCCGTATTTCTTCTATTTTGCTTTAGAAAATTCTCTTCTGCAGATGTATTGGTCATCATCAGACATTAACGGATGAACTATTAAATTAATATTATTATATTTGCCAAAGATCCCGGTGCTTGAGAGAAAGGAAAATGCGAGATCTTAGGCGAGCGGGATCTTAACCTATTCACTGAGAAGATAATCCACAGGGACTCATGGTCCGGCCAACAATCGATAAAATGGTCTCACCTTACTGTGAAATGTATTGATGTGACTCCTAGGTTATAACTTATGGCGAGCAAAGAGTGGTCAACCTTGATGACCTTCTATCACAATGGCATGAGGCGTCAAATTTTCACTCATCCTATCGTGTGTCTCAAGATCTACGTCGATCCTATTGCTCTTCCCTTTCACTTGTCCTTCACCAAGGCCCCCCTCCCTCCCCCGCCTCTGTTGTAACGCACCATTAATTGTGACCGCACCAATTAAATATAATTATGTCTTGCCAATTGGGATGCCGAGACAACTACTGCTGTCGTTATCAGGAAAACAAATGCCCTGAAGAGTTCACAGTTCAGTGTGATCCCATCTGACGTGGACTTGTAGGCCCTGCCCACCCAGCTTGTGATGTAAGCTCAGGTGCGAGTGCGATGTTTGGGGAAAATAAACGCATCCATGAGTTCACACCTTGGTGTGATTTCATCTGAGGCGAATATTGTTCTGTTTCTTCCAGATTCCTAACTCCGTTGTGTCCGCTTTCGCGAGTGTGGATGATCTATGACGCAACGAGGAGGGATAAATTGCAATTTTTTTGCTGTTTGGTTGGTCAGCTGAGCCTTCCTTGGTTTTTGCTCCGTTGATTATGATCTTAAATGCTAAATTTTAGCCGATTGTAATCCTTTAGACTTTAGAGCGGGATCTTAGAGGTGTTTTTTGTGTAGTAAAAGTTCTGTTTTCTTAAAAGTGGGGGATCTGTGGGGAACCAGGATTGTGAACAGTGGGGTTTTAGGCGGAAACTTCTGTATTATTGTTATTATTATTAACCTCATTGTAATGGCCCTTGTGGGTGGCTCCTTGATGTTTATTTGTACTGTGTTTCAGGCAATCATCTCCAATGTCAGTTGGTGACCCTGACCTGCACAATGATGACAGATTCCTGTTTAAATCGTCTGACCATGGGAAGTCAGTTCTCGAAGGTCTTCAGCAGTTGCGTCAGATGCGGCAACTGTTTGATGTCACACTGGTCGCGGACAGCCAAGAGTTCCCAGCACACAGAGTCGTGTTGGCCTCATGCAGTGACTACTTTAGGTACCTTTGTTTTTCAGCTGTGCAAAATATTGTAGGGAGAGTGTTTAGGGCCTGTTACGAAGTTGCATTACGTTATTGCAACTGATTGTTTTAAGACTGCTCACAAGTTGCCTGTTTTTTCAGGTTTTTATGTGCGTGTGCAATGAATCAAGTTTGCATTTTTTTTTCCCCGAATAGAATGAGTATTGAGTAGTTTCATTTTTGATAGGAATATTTAAGGAGAAGATCTGATGTGAGATTCCTAAAAATTTTATGATCTCATTTTTCTATTGTCCATTTTAGCTTTTGGGGATTTTTGCACTTTTTGCACTTTTGTTCACTCTGTTCCCCTTATTAACCGTCTGACTGCTTGAAGTGGCCTATAACAGTATAACTAGGCTCACACATTTTTTACACTCTTGAATTAATGATGATAGAACGCTTTTGTTTAAGCTACTTAAGTATTTTTTGGGGAATGTCATTCAAGTATTTTTTTAAGAATAAAATATCTCTGGGGATTCACTTTAGGAAATTGACTCCTATATTTATGCATGTGTAATGTTAATTGTAGTTATTTATTATTATTAGTAAGATACTTTCAGAGATATGTGATTTGCTGATGACTTGTCTTTTTTTTTTCTCTCACGCAGGGCAATGTTTACTGATGGTCTTCGTGAGAGCACAGAGTCTCGGATAAGTTTAAATGGATTGTCAGCTACCAGTACAGCTCATCTGATTGATTTTGCTTATAACTCTTCAATAAATATTGATTCAGGTAAATATTGCTATCAACATTTTGTAAACACTCATTCAAAATGGCATACTGCATCTTTCTTTCACACTCTTAACATTGGCCTTCCCCCTAAGCACAATAGTAAATGAACCCAAATCACTTTTCGTCTCTTGTCAGATCATCCTTAACATCCTTCACTACCAAAGAATTACCAACACCTTTTCAAATAGTGCTGATTATGGAAAGCTGAAACAGAAACGCGATTGGCACCTTTAAATGTGTTTGACAATTCCATAATTGGGGTAATCCGATAAATGTAAAAATTAAAAGCTATTGAAAAAAAACAAAACAAGGGTAGTAAATCTCAGTAACTATGACAGTTTAATGGTCGCAAAAAAATCACAGTGGCAGCTTTACTGTAGCAGTTTCTCAGCACACAGCTTTTTAAGTGATGCCAGGTCTCCTTTTGAACCTGTCTAACTGTCTTGTGTTGCATGCAAGTTGCAATTGAAGTCAAGGCCAAGTTCATTAGCGATTTCGTCATCTTTTGTCATCAGAATGGGACCAGAGATAAGAAGAGACATGGCATGTGCTTGCTGGAATCAGTGAAACAATGACAGCTTGATGCTTTCGAATTTGGAAGAACACATTTGCTTTCTGTCGGGTTGACATCCAATGTTGACGTATCTGATTTTATCATAATTTTTTTAGAATTGTGAAAAATATTTCATTGGGGATACCAAATCTCTTACTTAAAATTTCTGATTTAGTTCAGGACTTCTTGGCAACCGGGCCTCTGCTAAAACCTGATGCTTGGTTTTTATGGTCAGAGTCGCTATCTATTATGAAAAAAAGAAGCCTTGTACTTGTATCGACAAAAAGACAAAAGTATGGATAAAACGTGCGTCTTGTTCGGTGGCAAAGGCAGAGAAAGGAAGAGAATGTTGCTGATGAGCCTTTGACAAAAATAAAATTGCTATGTCTGATCATGACCATGACGATGTAACTAACATTGGATAAAGCTTTTTCGTATTATCTGTGTATTCAAAACCTGATCCATGCCTTCACATTCAAACAACCACACATACACCCACACATGCACACAATTACAAACGTAAGTCACACACTATGTCGCCCAATGCGGCGCAATACTGTCTTCGATCACTCCCCACCACTCATCCTGTATGACTAGATTCAAGGAAGTTCTAGCCATCCTTTAGGTAATGTGCAATGATGCATCTGGACACCAGTAGTGTGTGCATCATGCCATGCGGGGAAGGTAATTAGGAGGGGGGGGTGAGCCTGGTGGCTTGTGATGTAGTAAACTGATACTCTTAATAACGACCGACGGGTGCGTTGTCTTCATTGTCATTCTTGTAGGATAATTGAATTTGAGACAGCTGTGAGGTACAATTTGATCAGGTTTTTAGAGATAAGCTGTTAAGAAAATCCCTACATGTGTTTGAGAAAACAATGTTGTGAACACAAAGAAAATATAATAGTTCAGTTAGGGAATGGTATATTATACGAGCTATCTGTGATTTTGAATTTTGTGTGTGTTGTGCTATCTATGCCTGACTATTTATTATCACTAAACAGTTGGCCAGCAAGCCTCTCCCATTCTCATGAGGATCATCCAGACAATGAAGTCATGGGCTTTACTTTGAAAAAACTTGAACTTCATCAGCCTCCCCAACTTCTGTACTTAGTCTGCCCACCAGTGTGAATCGGTTAATCAATTAATCATATTCTATTGAAAAGGTTGTTAATCCCATCGCATGCCATTCCATGTCACACCACACAGTACTGTATCGTACCCCGTTGTACTGCTGTAGTGCTTCTCAGAACTTAAAAAGTGTAATTTTTTTCTCTCTACAGACAATGTTTATGATGTTTTGTCGGGAGCTACACACGTACAGATCTTGCCCGTTATCAGCGCTTGTGAGAACTACTTGAGGGAACATCTGACGCTGGACAACTGTGTTCATACTGCTCAAGTTGCAGAGCTGTTCTCTTTGCACCTTTTGGAGCAGCACGTTTTCAATTTCATATGTAGGAACTGGGACAATTTTTGTACAAATGAAGACTTTTGCAGCCTGACGCCCCAGTTCCTAGTGAGCCTGTTGTCGTCTGGTTATCCTGTGAACTGTAGCGAAAGTGATGTTCTAAGATCGGTGCTTGGATGGTTTTCATGTGACTCTAAAGAAAGGGCACATCACATGTCGAGTGTTCTCAAGTGCATAATGTTTCAGAATCTCAGTGACCCAGAATTTGATGATGTTGTGAATTCCAATCAATGGTTTGAGCTGGTGGACAAATGTCCAAATGTGGTATCCAGCATGCCAACACTAGCAAAACTGGCCAAATGGAATGAGGATTTTCAATCAAAAGATAGAAAAGACAAAATCATCAGTCTGACTGACTTTTCACCTCAGCGGAATTCACCCATATCCATAACGCGCATAGAAGTGAGGCGCTCTTTAAGAAAAGCAGAGAAAAAAAATCGGGTACCAGGTTTAGTGAACACAAGAGGCTTTCATAGAACAATTGTCATTGCTGGAGGCTTTTGTCAAGACCTTGGCATGACAAACAATGTGCTTTATATAGACAGCCACACCAAAAAACTGAAACACTTAACCAAAATACCCCACATAGATCAGATCAACTTTGGTGTGGCTGTCTTTTGCAACCAGCTTTACGTTGTTGGGGGATGTTTCAATGACAATATGCAGGAGATTTCAATTCCATTTGGTTTTCGTTACAATCCACTTCTGGATGAGTGGCGGAGCATTGCTCCGATGAATCAAGAGCGGTGTAGATTCCTTCTGTGTTCTGCTGAGGACAAAATATATGCTATCGGTGGAGATCCTTTTGCATCGACAGTAACCAGGGATGATGTTGCTCTCTGTGAGACTTATAATCCGCGAACCAATGAGTGGATACTTATCAGCTCATTGCCCGGTAACCGGTCTCAGCTTGCTGGCACCAGCTATGGAAATTCTGTTTTTGTCTCTGGGGGTATCCAAGAAAGTGAAGAGCAGGTTCTTCAAGATTTCTATCGCTACGACCCAATCTTAGACACTTGGGAGAAGAAGGCGGACATGCTGGTGCCAAGGGCGGATCACTCAATGTTCTTGTGGGAGGGGCAGGTTCATGTCATGGGGGGGTGGTACCTGGATGCCGGGACGAACAGAAGAGTTATGGCGACAACCATTGACTGTTACGACTCTGATTCCGATTCGTGGGGGGTGGTAGGGACTCTAAACCATGTCCGAACTTACGCTACCTACACCTTGGATGGTGATTGTGTGCGTGCGATTGGTGGCTGGTACAGAGGAAACTATGCTGCAAAGTGCCGGACAGTGGATACGTTTAACCTCCGTGACAGAACGTGGAGCCAAGGGCAGGAGCAACATGTTGCCTTGTGGGAGCACGGCTCTTGTGCCTTGCATCTGCCAAAGTTTGTCCCTTCACTCAGCTGATAAAGGTTTTACTCAGCTATCTGTTTTTGTACCTTTCCTTTTTACCTGTTCACAACAGTTACTTTTACATTCACACTTTCCCCATTATCAACAGCAAGTATAATTTCAGACTCTCACACTGAAAACATTTTCATAAGGGCTTGACCACTAAAATTAGGTAGTTTGGGTATGTCAAATGAGGGAAGGCTCATTGATAAGCACACAGTGTTAGTGTGCCAAAATGTACCAAACCAGCTGGTAAGATTTAGTCACTTTTAATCTGGCAGCTGAGGCTTAAAATGCACTTGACAGAGACTCAAAATCTACAAAAAAGTGCCCTTCAATAGGATTCCCAGCAGTTTTGTCCTGCTCAAGTTGTTAAATCATTTGTAAGTTCATATCATTTAGCCTAGTTGCTATGGCAGCTTTTCATTCTTAAATTGGCTGATTTATCGCTCTGATCTATTTTTTTAGACTTTGTTTCTGATATATGTATCCCACTTCTTTTTTTCACTTTTTATAAAAAGATATTATTAGATACCGGTAGGTAATTTTTTTGGTAAATAAAAAGATTTTACTAGATAGGTTATTTTCAGTGTATATCAGGGAGTGGAGGGTGGGTATAGCTTTTATGAGGAAGTCGCCCCAGGTGTTATTTATGTGGAATATACGTAGTTAGGTGTTGAAGTGGAGAATACATTTATACAGCTGCATAGTGACTTGTCAAGGATGGTGTTGTCATCTTCACCGCACAAAAGCCAAGGTTTTGATAGAGAGGCCATATATATATATATATATATATATATATATACACATGTTACCCTTGCTGTATGACTCTCCTCTCAGCTCACTGTGCTGATCCCCAAAGGCATGCAAGACCTAATGTCTGGAACACACCTAGGTGAAGAAGCTGCCAAAATAATAGATTCTTCTCTTTCCATCTGCTGATCTGACTTTAGTGCTGAATCAGTAGTCACGGGTGTCATGTCCCCAGTCATGGTACAAGAGTGATTCAGTGCAGCATTTCATTCACCACTACCACTCTCAGACAAGATATGCAACTTTTTGAAGGCTCCATCCACCCGAAGCAGACGACACGAGTTTGCAGCCCAGCAATTGGCTTTGATTGATTCAGGTTGTACCAATTGCAGTTCTTAGGTAGCTGAGGCTTTTCTGCCAACCATAATTGCTGCTCAGCACTCAAGTGACACAGTTGATCCACAATCTGAAATTCTGAGTCTGCTTGTAGAAAAGCTGTCTTGTTACTCATTATTGTTGCATCTGTTTATTTATTTTCTTGGAGTTCAGGAAGTTGACTACTTTTGATGCATTTACATACATAATATTTTAAGACTAATGTTTACTCATTTCATTGACTGAATGAATTGTGCCATTGTTTGTGCAGTCCGACTAACAAGTTTGTATTTTGCTGTTAAAGTTGTGCATGTTCCTAAGTTGAAAAATTTGAACTGTTTTGACTTGTATTCCACTAAATGAGCTTGTTTTCTATACATGTTCAGCCAGTTGTATGGTATTGGTTCTTTACCTATTTGGTTGATCCTGTTGGTAATTGAAGTTAAAGTGGAGGTCCACCCTGATAAATTGATAGCTGCGTTCATTTGATAGGGGCATATTCTTTTATTATATGTTACCAGACGACACAGGACAGATTCTTTCCCTCACCATCATAAATGTGCATCATCACTGTGCTCCTGTCTCAGTTTATCAGATAAATTATTGTGGATTTTATTGTACTTGGTGCTCAGTACTTTAGTACTTTGAATGTATATTGATATTTCATATTCTTGTGAGATTATGAATGATATATAGGTGATAGACGGGTTGAGCTTAAGACTTGGACTTCAGTGAATGTCCACTGGGTGATTTACTTTTAGATATATACAGGGTGGTCCAAAAAAAGCAACTTTACAACTTTTTTTCTGAATATCTGGCACAAAAATTGTTCTAGAATGTGGTAATTTTGGACAGACATTATTCATTTAAAAGGAATTTGTTTGACTTATAATCCACGGAAAAGACTCATATTTTGAAAACAAAAATATAGCTTAAAGAAAAAAGCACCCATAACACAAAGTGCACCAATTTTTTATAGTAACTTGTACTTGTAAAAAGTCTTTTAACGATTGGTTGGCTTTTTTCTCTATTTTCTCTTTGACATTTAATATTCCATCCCTGTAACATTTAAACAATATTTCATTTTTTTACAGAGTTAAAAAACTAGCATGTTTATTCTGGAATTCCTAGAAGTAGTAGAAGCAATGCTCAACATGCCCTCCTTTGGACTCAACACATTTTTAACGCTTCGTTCGAAGTGTTCGAAGGCGGCCAAACACAAGGACCCACTAAACTATCATGGGTGTTCGAAGCCATAAACACTGTAAATATTCAGTATGGAGTTGCCTCTAGAGACAATAGGGGGTGGGGTACCCTATAGACAGCATTTTTGGAGTTAACATCCTGAAAGGTGAAAATGGGCTTTGTGCTGTACCAAATGTCATTTAGTAAATGTTCACGCTTTTCAAGACAATTGAGAAACCACAAGCACATTGCCATGCTCTGATCCATGTAACCTTAGCCTTGCGAACGGGAAAATGGTATGGTCGTAGGTTAAGATGTGCCTCGAGAATGTAGACTGTACAGGTGTAGGAAAGTTCCTAGCTGCAGACATTGTCTTCGGACAGGTGTTTCTTGGGATGACTACTGAAATCTTCATCCTGATGACTTTTTAAGGGCTGTGAATGGTGGGTGTTTGACCTGAAGTGATCATTTTGTTTGGGAATTTTTTGTTCTTATTCGCTATAGACACAAAGGGATGGAACTTCTCTATCCAATACACCAAAGAAGGTCTTGAGGGCGCTTTAGAATTCTTTCCATACCATATGCGGAGCGTACAAAATGTCTGGGAAATGAGTTGGTGGAGAGCTAATGTTGAATATGTGACTAGGATCTCAGCAGGCAACGGAAATTTGAAAAAAAAAAAAATCTGCAGACTTGTGTTGACTTATTACTACTGTAGTTTGCAATATAGTGCGATTGCTGCAACTTTTAGTGATAGGCCTAATGTGAACTGCATGGAGTGTCATGCTACAAAAATGGGGACAAGGTTGAAAGTGAGTTTTTTTTAAAAAATGGGCCGTATAGCGCAAAAGCATTCAGTTGAATTATCTAAAATGAATGTCAGACAAATTCCTTTTTACTACAAAATAGTGTGTTCAAATTTGGAATGCCAAACTTTAGTGTGGAGGAAAATATTTACAAAACAAGTTGTAAAGTATTTTTTGGGATCACATATTGCATCCATAACGTTTTTAAGCTATTTACAAAACCATAAAGTTTGTTTTTTGTGGGCTTTATGGCACATATACATGTATATATATATATATAAATTAATGTATGGCAAGACTTTTGATTGATTTTGTTATTTTAAAAGTAATTCCAGCTATTCTTTTGAAAATTGAGGAGATACAAGATTGATAACTTAGCCATTATACAGTTCATTAAAAAGTGTATTTCATGTTTTTTCAAGCAATTCATTTTCAGGTATGGAATTTATTGTTTCTGAGAAAACTGTAGGGTGGACCTGTTTTATTCAAAATTATTATTTTCATATATTACAGGAAGGTAGGAGCTCTAGGCTTGAAAAAAATGTTTGCTTTGAAAAACATCTGTTTCAAAATAGATGAAAAGAAGAAAAAAAGATTGTTCAACCCTTTCTTTTGTAGAACTTGGAATTACAAAGCTGTAATTATTGCAGACTTGAAGTAGGCCCTATTTTAAAAGTTGTTTTCTCATTTAATTTTAGTACAGATAAGCATCAGTTTTATTTCCTTTCTATGATTCTAACGAATATTACATATATCAGAAGTCTCTACTAGAATGATAAACTGTGTTGTAGCTGAAGTTGTTGAAGTGGTCTACTTTTCGTAGATGGTGCTTTTTGAGACTTCGTGGGGTGCATCATTTTTTACTGCAATTTGCTACATATGTTAGCTGAAATGCCATAATCAATATCCCTGGTACTTAGGTGGTTTGAGTTTTTTTTTTTTAGCATAGATTACAAATACTGTCCTTTGTGTATGTTTTAGCGACACTTTACCTGTGATGCCAAAGCATGAGTTTGATAATACTGCATTACTGTGTCTCACTAATTTATTAAGTAGAAGTAGTCATAGAAGCAAATATATTATGTTTATTATTTATGTCAGAGGGGTGTGGGTCTAGTGACTAACGTTTTTTTATAAATTTTGTGAATGCGTACAATGTTCTGATATTTATAATAATGGTCTTTTTGTATATGTAGATAAAAATATATGTGAAGCGTGCTGACAAAATGAGTTACTTCTCGGATTCAAGCATTATGGAAAATGGTACATCTCGTTTATAGGTGAAATTTTTACAAATTTTTAGTATGAAATAATAAAAGACATGTTGTAGTTAAAGAAAATGGCATTAATAAAAATTCTACAAATTTGACTCTTGGCCAATATCTCAATTTGTGGATTGCGAGAAGTAACTCATTTTGTAAGCACACCTCACATATGAGTTCGATTTAAACCTTGTTCCTTCTTTGGTCGCCTCAAGGGACGACTTATATGCATTTATTAAAGGAATTAACTACTCTACTGAGGTCTCTGGTTTGTTCCACAGTTTTAAATTTACTTTAGTATAGTACAATGAACTGTGGGACAAAATTTATGTTAAAAGAAAAAGATACAAGCGTGTAGCTACGACAAGGAGTGACTCATAAAGTTGATTTTATTCAAAGAAAAATATTGAATTATGCTAGTCTCGTAACAATTGTCTCATCTTGTCCAAGGGGAAGACTGAATGTCATTTTATGGTTGGTGAGATTAAGTTGAACATTTTGAAATAAATTGTTCACAAAAACGAGTGCTGATTTTAGGGTAACCTGTCGTCTCATTACTTTCTCTTTTCCTTTGACAACAAAAAAGTCCCTGTGAACTTGTGATCGGGATGGAGATTCTTGATTTATACTTAAGTGACAACGAATGTTGATCAAATACAGTTCAAAACACTAGCAAAGTTTTGTCACTGCTGTTTTTCTTGATGAGCCTTGTTAAATTCCACTGATGCTGATCTGATAGTTTGGTTAAAAAATCGGCAAATGTTTTTGAGCAGCCTATCTTTTCGAGTTTCGAGTGACAGCTCCTAGAGTTTCCCCTAGTGCCTCTTACCCTTAAAAAAACCCTTGGATTGAACGCAGGTGTCTAAACTCTGTTGATTACAGTAATGCTCGTTTGATTCTTCTTCAGTTTTTCTCACCCGTACGTTTCCCACCTGATGTTTTTGATGCCACTTTTTATTTGTGTAGTAATACTCTTGATGCCGCTTGAACAGTCTTTGGAAGATATTAATTTACATGTGACATTAATTTTTTTTTGTTTTTGTGACCAGCTTTTTACTGTCCAGCCATTTCTGTTTTCTTGATTTTCTTTGTCTTAATCATTTTTGTGTTTTAATCACTTTTTGTTTTAATGACAGACTGAAGTTAAAATGTACAGATATTCTTATTAGCCATTCAGTGCAGCCCTTGATATTATCAAGCTGTGGTTTAAGAAATCTGGTTACTCTTGTAATGTACACGGACAGGCCGAGTTTTGTGTTGATGTCAAGTTATTATTTTTTGTTTTTAAACCTACTCTAGGGCATTCCCCTTAGCTGACATGATAATCCTATCTTAATTCTTTTAAGGCATGGCTTTATTGAGATAATTATTCTGTGCTCTTTGAAATAGCCTCATTTTCGTTTACTGACTTTGTTTGGCAGAGCTAAATAGTCAAATTTTGTTCATGGGTCGACTCAAAATAATAGTACTCCGGCAGGATCAATCATTAAGTCTTCACTCTAAGAAATTTTCATGTCTGATGAATGCACTTTACATGTGTCCAGATTGCAGGTTTATTTTTTGAAAAAGTTAATGTGTGTTGTGTGCTTCTAGTGGGGTGTGTTGCCCAAGGCTGCTATTGTTGTATTCTCGAGTACTGTAAAAGGACCCGTCCTTCTTTCACAGGGCGTATATTCTGATGAACAGCATAAGTACTTTTTAGAACTTCTATCTATCGATTTATATGGCGGCAGCTTTTAAAATGTTTTCTAAGAATTTTTAAAAATGTTATCCAAGGATTTTTTTCTCTTTTGTTTTTTTAAAAAGTGGTGAGTGGTACCAATGATATAGTGGTTCTAGATCTTCACAACCTATTGGTGTAATGTTTAGTAAACAATCATTTGTAATGTATTTAATTTATTTATTATGTGTCTGTGAAAAGTTAATTTAAGTCAAAGACATGAAAAGTACGCTGTTCAACTTTGAGCATTTGCCTCTGAGTTATTGGAGGCTGCACAGCACAGAGAAGTGTCTGTGCCAAGTTCAGGTTTCTGGTTCTTTTGTGTATGGATTTCCTACTAACAGATAATTTCTCAACTTTCTATGCATTTTGTTACAGTTTTGGAATTTTACTGACTGTGTAAAATAATTTTTGCTCTGCCGCTAGTCCAATGGACACAAATTTCATGCAGAGCATTTTGAAAGCAAAGCTTTGTATACTTTGATAGGTGAACTGGTTTGGATTGAATAATATGTATTATCTAAAGAAATTTAACAATTTGGACTCTGTTCGGGTTTGAAGCTTAAACTTTTGGATGTTTTATGGCTAAATCTGTTACTAGCTTCATCTTTGACTGGATCTTTAAAAAATCATGTTCGTTATTGTTTGGTAACAGAAGTGGCCTACCTCTCTTTAAAAATCTCTGTATGATATCATTCCCATATCTCATACGAGGGTCTGTATTTATCATTCCCGTATTTCATAAGAGGGTATGTATTTTGTAGACTTCTATAAAACAGTCACATTATGCTTTTCTGGTCGTGGTCGCTGATGATAAATCTTACCCTGCTGTTGCTCTGAAACAATTGGGGGAAAAATATATAATAATACAATTAATAATAATATTTACAGATTACTGATGGAACTAGTCTCTCTATTTTTTGCTTGGTCTGATAATCAGTATCTAAATGTGTCCTAAGGCACTTTGTAGTTAAGAATAGTAGAAAGTTTCTAAGGTGGAAGGAATGAAACAAACCTACACACCACAGAAAATTTCTCTATCTTATTCTTCTCTGCTAAATATTGGAGGAGACAGATTATCCAGGTTTAGACCATGAGTACTTCATTGTCTTATTCAATTTTTCTAGTTTACGTTTGAAAAGATAATCATTTGCGGGATATTTAATTAATTTAAAGCCTTTTTTATATATACATTACATGATATAATATTATATTTGTATACATGTGTTTCTACCGACTCATTGTGCAACATCACGGAATTTTTACGCCAGCTTTCACTTTTTGTAATACATTTTACTTTGTTTCCTGTAACAACTGAACTGGGAGAAATTTGTTTTGAACTGTTCATTCCTTTTTTTTTTTACATGATTAAACTTTGCACAAACTGAAAATAACATTTTCTCAATTTTATTTTCTTCTGTTTTCAAGAGGCAGTAAAGCTGCAGTGTTTGTTGTTCAAATTTGAGAGTTATTTTAATGTTGGTTTTCTTTGCGTTGTGGGTATGCATGTAAATGTGTGTGTGTATGTGTAAGTGTGGGAGGGGGGGGGGGTGCCTAAGAAATGTTTGATTACCAATGTTCAAAAGGAGAAGAGACAGATTCTAGACCTTCCGCACCTGAATGATGAATTTCTCTTCCTTAAAAAAAAACCCTCAGCAAATTCAAATTGACAAACCTCGTAAACGTTTCATAAACTTGAAATTAATTGTCAAAAAAGTTAATGGTTACTGTATTACTGTTTGAATGCATCTTTCAGAGTTATTGGAGAAGTGAAATGATGGACACATCTGAAAGAGTTGTAACATACTCATTTGGTATTAACAGTACAGAAGGTCCAGTCCTCAGACTCAAAGTATGGTATCTAGTTGATTGATGAGGCGTTGAACTTGCATAGCAGTGTGGACTAGAGAGTTGCAGTCTTAGAAAAAATGCTTGACCTATTTTGCCTCCATTCAGCCAACTGTGTGTGAATGCTTGTCAGTCTGTGTAGGTGGTACGACCAGGTGAAATTCAGGCACTCGTCAATTTTTTGGCTTGTGAAGTTATTGGTATAATCTGAAAGCTGGTTTATTTGCCTTGCTTCCAATTAAAAAAAATTCCATCTATCTTGAATAGAACTCAAGATATTTGCGATTGAAGGAAGTGAGGTCGCCTGGTTTCAGCTGTGAAATTAATGAGTAAACGGCCGCCAAAGTTTGGTTACTCCAATCGCTAAAGAGTCCTTGTAAACAGAAAAATGACATTCTTTATGCCTTTCATCAACGTTTTTCAACCAAATTCAGATGGAAATGTGTTTTTATATGGACATAAAAGAGGTTAAGTCAAAAATTTTAAAATTGATAAAAATGTCCAAACTGGCGGAAAAATGCCTGTTTCCCTGATTTCTCTATTTTGACGAGTGCCTGATTTCACCACACGCCTCTTTAGCTCAGTTGGTGTCATGTTGGACTACGGAGTTTGAATCCCAGACTGGGCGCTCTTTAACCCTTTCGCCTCAGTCTTATCGGAGACAGACATTTAATTCAGAGGTACTGCCTCTTGTCAAACGAAATGAACGGCAAGGGAGTTGTAAAGTCTTGTGAGCCTTCTCAAGGTACATGGCTAGACTATGAATTGCTCTGCGCCTTTTTCATACAGTAGAAATTTATAGTTGGATTGTTTGCATGATCAGAGAACTTTTAAATTTCAGGTGAGTGCCAGCTGGTTATAGATTGTTGAAGAGGATGAACCAATGAATTAATCAACTCTTTTTCACAAAAACAGGAACTTGTTTTGCTTATGAACCTTTTTTTCTGAGCATTCTGTAAATTCACTCAGAGATATTTTGCTTCTTGTCGGTGGTTGGTGGGTGCTCTGGTGTGGTTTGCTTTTTCTTTCATATCAAATATCTATCGTCTTTATCTCCCCTCCTTCTTTTTTGTGTTTGTTAATCTCTTGTAACACCTCTAATCTTCGGCACTTTTATGACCTTATTGTGTTGCAAGTGCCTTAAAACACTATTTTTTTTCCGCTATTTAAGAATAACTAAGTTCTTTCTGCGCAGTACCTTGCTTTGAGAAATTTGACATAAAAAATTTGACTTTCACATGTCAAGGTTTTTCTCATGCAATTTTTCGAATATCCTGATATCGACTCCGAAATATCTTACAATTTTGATAGAGAGCAGATACAATTTTTGGTTTCCGACCTCATGGTCTTAGTAACTCAAAACGGCCAAAAATGTCAGTTAGAACTTTGTAATTCTAAAGTAGTGATTTTGTCGATGCAGGATAGTTTTGGGACACAGTAAAACATTCTTATCAGCAGACAAGAATGAAATACTGACATATCTACATACCTATATATGAAATGCATGTTTCTCTTTCTTCTACTCAGTTCCTTTTTTTCTTTCTGATTTTAGAAAATGCCCTCCAATATAAATAAAGGCCGTGAAATGCAAGCCGTGTATTCATTATTATTATACAGACTACGGTCTGTCAGCCAAGGGAGCTAAATCCTACTGTTACAAAGGACTTAATTAATAATTGCACACTTACGTCCCGTTGTTCTCATAACGGCGATGTGTGGCTGGGGAAGGTCTGGTGTTAAATTAATCCTCATCCTCCTCCTCCTTCTCTTCCTCCTCCTCCTCCTCCTCCTCCTCCTCCTCCAGCTGCTGCTGCTGCTCTCTCTCCTCCTCCTCCTCCTCCTCCTCCACCACCACCCTTCCCCCTTCTCCTCTGCTTCTGTCTTCCTCTGCATCAACATCAT